TGTGTTGCCCTTGACTTTTGCATGGACTTCTGCCATTTCCTGGCTCCACCCAGCCTGAAATGGCTAAAATATCACAGGGGGGTGGCTCTAGTCATCACCTGGCCTTCTTAGTAACCCCAGCCTCCAGTCGGAACCGTTGGGGTGGAGGAACCCGTAGAGAACCTATTTACAAAACCCATGAAAAAATCATGTGTGTGTACACAGCTAAGGAGTTGGAAGACAAAGAATTGTAACCAGCGGGTGATTTAACTTTAGGCACTTTCCTCTTTGTCAAGTTACTTAAATGTTCAGTTATGTTGTTTAGGTGGACATAAATGTTTGCACAGGAAGTTTGTAATCGGTGGCAATGTGGCTGGCCGAAGAGGGCTGGTCATTTGGGCAGGTGCGGAAGCAGGAGTCCAAGTTGGGAAAATTCTAGAAGCTGCTGCCAGCTCACTTTTCATTGAGTCAGGAGACTGGGAGAGGTCAGGAAAGGCCTGAGCCTCAGGCTGCCCTCACCAGTTGCTTGGTGGCCATTCTCAAGAGCTGGGGCTGGCCCTGACTCCAGATCTTTTGCCCCTTCTGTTGTTGGCAAGTCACTCACATTCTAGTTTTATGTTTCTGCTTATTATGGCCCTGGCCATGTAGCTCAGTTGGTTAGAGTGTCATCCCAGTGTGCTGGGGTTGCAGGTTCCATCCCCAGTCAGGGCATATACAAGAATCAACCAATGAATGTGTAAATAAGTGGAACAACAAATTGATGTTTCTCTCTCTCTCCTCTCTCTCAAAACAATAAAAGATTAAAAATTCCAAAATAAAAATAAATACTCGCTGTTAAAGAATTCCAAGGACTATATAAAATTATTAAAAAGAAGATAAAAGTCACATGAAATCCTGAGATAAACATCATTCACATCTTTAGAAATATCTTTTTGGAGCACTGCTTTGCATTAACGCCCACCCGCTCACCCACACCACAGTTTTTTTTAACTTCCTATTTTTCTGGAAGGGAGACTTAGACCTCTTTTTCCTGCCTCTACCTCCTCCACCGATAACCAGAGTAAACAACCTGGTGTTCGCCCTCCCAAACTGCTCTTCATGTGACAGAGAAGCACAAGCACATGCCTGTACAGGGCTTTCTCTTCTCATTCCTCACTGTTTCTAAACGTGGAGTGATCGCGTGGTCTTGTCTGCATCCTACTTTTCTCACGTAAAGGCATGTTGTAGAAAACTCACTTAGCCCCGCTGGTGAAGATCTAGCACCTTGTTTAAAATAGTTGCATCATATTTTATAGACTTTTGGAGTGCAGATTTATTCAACAATTCTCTAATTAGTGAGCGATTACAAAGCTTTTTTTTTTTTTTTTTTGGTGCTACAACTTTCACTGCAATTAACAGTTTGATATCTCATACATTCCTATGTAATGACGCTTTATTACTCTGTGGGACTCCTGGAAAGTGGGATTATAAATCAAAAGGAATGTATAATTTTTCACTTTAATAGAACTTGAAAGATTGTTTTCTAAAAGGTTGGCAATACTTCACATTTTATTTGTTCAGGAAATATTTATTAAGCTCTGACACCATGCCAAGCACTGTTTTAGCAATTAGGATTCAACAATGAATAAAACAAAGATCCCAGACCTCACGAGGGTTTCATCCTGGAAATGGAGGGGAGAGGAGCTGACAAAATGACAGTAACTTTAATAACTACTTTGTACCAGAGATGTAGGAAAACACATTTTCCTTTTCTTTACTATCAACAACTGACATTACCATTCTTTTCATTTTTCTCCAATTTACTGATGTACTGTGATATTTTATTACCTTAATTTGCATTTTCTAATCTGTAAGTAATTCTAACATTTTTTACATGTTTATTTAGATATTTGGACTTGTGTTGGATGAACTGCCTATTTATAATCATGCATTTTTCTCCTGGGTAGATTGTATGCTAGACCCATACTTCTTGTCAGTGTTCATGAGCTCTGTGTATGTTATAAATAGATATTTATCTGCTGTCTGCTTTGCAAATCTTTCCTCAATCTATTGCTTACGTACTGATTTCATGATGGTTTCTTTCACCACGTAATACGTTTGACATTTACAAATCTGTCTTTTTGTTGTGATTGTGTTTTTTGGTCCTCTCTTACCTTCTGCCTATTCTACGTTCGTTCATTCTTATCTCCAAACTCTGGGTCCTGTGAATTGTTTTCTAAATTTTCTTCCAATTAGATTTTTTATTTTTGTAATATATTTTTCAATACACATGGAATTTACCCTTTAACATGGTATACGTTAGGGGTCCAATTGAATAACCATTTTCCTAATAGTTGTTTATGAAAATAAACCCTCAATTCTCTACTGAATGAAAAGGCCACCTTTTCAGCTCCCATATGCAGTGGGGTCCGTTTGCCTGCCTATTTATTGTTCTACCCCACTGGTTGTCTGTCTCCTCATATTCCAATTTCATGCTGCTTTGAGTACAGTCTTCTTTTTCATAATTTAAAAGTTATTCAGTCATAAAAATCTTCAGATCATTTTATCCAATTAAAAATTGTAATTTGTATTGAAAGCACATTTAATTTATATTAGGAACAAGAAAGATGTCATAATCAAGAGACAAAAGAGGTTGAAATAACTATAAGACAATACTATGTAGAAGTTTATGGAAATGAACTGGAAACTGTGGAGGAGGCAAAGATCTCCAATAGACCACATAAGTCATCAAAATGGTGCCAGGAGGGAAAAAGTGGGAACGGACAATACTGGGCTATATCTGAACAGATGGACTTCTGCAGAAGAAATTAGAAATGGATTTTATGGCCTACTGTTTACAGGCCATTTACAGGGCACAGATGACTTACCGGCCAAGTTCTATCTGGCCTTTAAAGTACAGAGAGTCCCATGTTGTTAAACTATTCAACACCAAAGAAAAAAAAGGACAGAGGTCTCTCTGTTACACGTTAGGAAGCCAGAATCATTGAAATGCTAACACACCTCATTGACAAATCCCACTTGGGAATGTAGAGTCTTAACTGAAACAAAATAGTTGCAAAAAGGGTCCATCCATGAATCAAAAAGACTAATGTACAATAATCAGCTTTCATTCCAAATGCAAGGATGTTTTGATACCAGAAAATTCATCAACATAATTTATTACATCAACAAATTAAGGAAAAACTGCCATATAAATGGATACCAAATAGGCACTTGGTAAAATTTAGTAGTCGTTTTCAATATAAACCCATGATCCCTTATTTAAAGTTCTGACACCCAAGAGAGACAAATATCGTATGATTCACTCATATGTGGAATCTAATGAACAAACTAAACTAACAAGGAAACTGGGGGCAGGCTCATAGATGGAGAGCAGGGTGACAGCTAGTGGAGGTGCTAGGGGTGGAGGGATTGAGTAAAATAGAAAAAGGACTCATGGACATGGACACCAGTGTAGTGATTGTTGGGGTGTTGGGGGTGTAAGGGGAGTAAAAGGTAAGGCAAAAAATATACAAAAAAAGATTTTTTAGAAAAACAAAAGAAAAAAATCCTGACACCCCAAAATCTCTGAACCCTAAAATGTTTACCTGTAATTTTGGCATTATACTTCATCTAATGTCAAAGTTGATCTGAACTGACATAAAGAAACTACCTAAATACAGAAAGTATTATTTTTTAAATAAATGTACAGTATTACACATTCTGTACACAAAGCATACTCAAAAAATACTTAATGGGTTATTTGTTACTGTGACTCTCTGTCCTATATTCAAAAGTATTATAGTCTTTTCTTTTTTCAAGTTGAGTTTGAAGAGAAACACTATGAGGCGTGTGCCTTCAATTCTCTGGAAAAAGGGAAACATTACTGTGTTTCATTGAATCTAAGGCACCATTCCTTGGAAGGCGAGCGTTTATTTTATATACCACTAAAAGAGAGAAAAATGCTGCTCATTACAATATGAACCATCGTCAATTGTAAAACATATTCCGGTTTCAGAGAGACTGAAATATGAAAAACGTGGGTCTCAGAATCGATGAAACACGGTGCAGACATCCAAAGGCAGTCAGGAGCCCACCGCCGCCCACACGGCCCCGCCCGCGGGAGCAGGAACTCAAGGCCCTCTCGGGTCTGGGGGAGGGGCTGGTGTGAGGTGGAGTGTGGTGGTCTGGGTCAGCCAGGGCTCCAAAGTGGGCTCTATATCGGTTAGTTGTTTGATTGTGAGCCAGCTACTTAATGCCTCGAACCACAGTGCTGCGAGAGTAGTAATATCGATTCACAGTCATTTTTGAGAGTTGAAAGGATGATACGAAAGAGGGCTTGTGGCATTCCCGGGGAAGGATGAACCCCACCTAAATGGCAGCCCCTGGAAGGAGGGTGGTGGGGATCGAGGCCATAAATCTAGGGTCTTCCCACATCTGTCATCCCGTGATTTTACCCAAGAAAAATCTTGACCGTGTTTCTCTCACCTCTAAAGAAGATTCCCCGGTATTACTGGAAAAGCTGCATTTGGCCTTGGGTCCCTGGGCTGTCTATGCACCCTGAATTTATAACGTCTGATCTGAGTCTCTGAGTTGGAGAGAACCCCAGACACGTCCTAACAGGAGTCAAGAGAGAAAATGTGACTTTCCCTAGTGACGCAGTCAGTGGCAAATGACAACTAAAACCTAGACCACTAGACACACTGGTCAGACTCTTTCTAGATGCCAAGGCTCCTGTCCCCAGGGGGATGCAGTTGACTCCAGCAGTTTCTGGCAGTTTCCTCAGGCCAGCCAATCTCTGTGTCCTAAGCCAGTCATTTCTCCTCTCCAGGCCACTTCTTCCTGCTCTGGGGAAAAAAACGATGGATGCAGACTTAACCCACCCACCCCTTCTGACTTCCTGTGTGACTTTGACCTTCACTGTCCTCCACTTCCACCCCAACATTCTAATTGGCCACTCAGAAGAAGTTTGGGGGAGCTCTTCCGTACAGAGACTCTGAAGACCTACTCACATTGCCAATCTGCTGTGTGCTCTCTGACAGGATGGGAGTGGTGAGCAGCAAAAAGCAGGTCAAGGAGAAGGGTAAGGGCCAGTGGAGCCCTGTGAAGGACAGCACCCAGAGCAGAGAGGCCCCTCCATTGCCACCCCTGGTGAGTGATTGCTGTTCCCATCGGGAGAGGGAGGAGGGAGAGTATGGAGCATGAGGGGCTCCCTGGGCGATGCTGCCGGTCTCTAGCCAGCCCCAGCACCATTATCTTGATAACTCAGAGCTTCCACAAATAGGCTTCCTCCAGTGTCACCCCAGCTCACATTGGTGTGGCAGTATCATAGACTGTTTAACAGCCCATGAATGCTAAAGTGTGAATCTGTTAGCTGTAGCTTCAAAGCAGGTTTCTTAACTCCCCTTAGTCTCGGTTTTCCCACCTGTAAAATGGGTAGAATGAGAGTGCTTTTTCTGATAGGGAGGTAACCATATGCCATATAGACACAAGCATGCAAGACTATAATGTATTGCTTTTTGCACAGGACTGGGCATGGCAAGCTCCCAATGAGTCTTAGGCAGTTTTCAGCGGGCAAGGGCAGCCTTGAAGAGAAAGAGAAATCAATGATATCGGATGGAGGAAAGGGTGTGCTGGAGAAGATTCTAGGGCATTTAGCAACATCTGCAGCCCCCAACCCTATCTAGAGGCTTCTGGATCATTGTCCCCTTCCGGGTGTGCCAGCATTCCAGAGAGCTTACCCCCCTGGGGCAGGTGAGGCATCCTAGGACAGGAGGGTGCTTATGCTCACCTCCCCCGCCAGCCCTTGTGTGTTCATGGGGCCTATCTCACAGTTCTGGTTTGTTTACAAAGCAGTTAGCACCCTTTGATGTTACTAGTTCCTAATGACGCATTTTTAGATGATTTCTCATGTGTCCCTTGCCTGGCTACCTACCGCCTTTTGGTTCGGGGCAATTGGAAGCCATGCCTGGACTCCTCTGTCGTGCCCTCTCTTCCCCCACAGCCCACCCAGCTCGTCATTACTTCATCCCAACTGGGACCTCAGAGGGTGGTGGTTGCTACTCCCATTTCTTAGATAAACCAGGCATCTTATCTGCGTCCCCACTGAGTGCAGGGTTTGGCACAGAGCAATACAATATTTGTTGAATAAATGAATCGTCAAAGGACCGTGGGTTCATTATTGAGTCATCCGATTGAGTGGATGGGACTTAGGCTGAGTAATTTCTTCAAAGTTATGCGCTAATCAGTAGAGCCTGGAATGTTTTTAACTTTGAAAAATCACAAAATACATATTATTTGTGGAGGAAAAATGGTAAATATTCATTATCCTCCAAGCAAATGATACCAGAGTTAGTGTTGCCAAGCTCCTGCCCACAGACATTTTTTCTGTGTTATTTATGTATTTCTGTTTCAGTGGAACCATACTATACATACCATTTTGTGACATGCTACTCCAAAATTGTTTAATAAATGTGGAATACAAAAAGAGATTTCTTATAACATGTATGTCAGGTTGGAAGGAGGAGAATGACATGAACCCTTAATGCGGCTCCTCCCACCTGCAGCGGTAGAAAGCGCCCCATCCCGGAAGGTCTCTGCGGTCCCCTGAGTCTGCCCCCTCGGCTGAGGGCCCATTACTCGGAGTGTGCTTATCATTCCTTAGCTTTGTTTGTTTGTTTTTTTTTGTATCATTCTCTAGGCATATATTCCTAAACACAGGGTAGTTTGATTTTGCATATTGTGAGCTTGAAATCAAATGAAGCCAAAGGCAGTTATTCTTCTGACACTTGGGTTTTAGATCTACTTGGGTTTTTCATTGTGAGCTTCAGCTGTATGGACGCATGGAGTGATAGCTCATTAACTGCCACAGCTGTGTAGGACTTCATTGCCCGGATTTCTCTCTTCTTTGGTCATTGGTCATGGGAGTGATTTCTGTGCTTGACTAATTTTTATGTAATTAGTATGGACTACTTTGTATTTCTGCTGGGAGCAGTCTTGTGCATGTTTCCTGCTATACCCATGCAAAAGTTTCTCCACAGGGTATATACCTAGGAATGTATTTGTTGAGTTTTAGGGAAATACGGTGTTTAAATAATTTTCCTTGAGAACAAATACCCTTTTGCAACTTCATCACTTAATGACAGAGCCAGGATTTTCAGCCAGGTGATCAGGCACTTCCCCCACCTCCAGGCCCCATTCCACAGCTGCCTCTTGCAGAGTTGGGGCATCCCTACCTACATGCCCCTCCTCTACACGTGTATATGGTCTGGACAGAGATGGCAGGTGTTCCGGGGGCTGTTCGAGACGGCACTGGTACCTGGGGAATAGAAGTGACCTGTGCAAACTCCTGTGCCGACTCACAGCAGACGCGCCCACCAGCCAGCAGGCCCTGCCCGGGCTGCAGGGCACTGAACTGACGCAGAAGGCCATGTGTTTTTGCTCCAGGTCGTGTTTAATCACCTAGCTCCTGTACCTCCCGACACACACCCAGATCAAGGTAAGAAGGGGCTGCTCTGGAAGCTGAGGCTCCGCAGGCCAGCTCTCCAGGCCCAGACTTGGAGGCCTGGGGAGGCTGAGGGAGGAGCAGGGCGGCCTGGGGCCAGCGCTGTCCCAGCTTTGCCTGCCCTTGGGGGCCTCTCCTACCTGGGTGGGTATTTCCTCGGAGACTTTACAAACTATAAATGAGCATGAAAAGACAAGAGTTACAGTGAATACAAACAGCATCATTAAGCCCAAGCTTTCAACAATCTAGCTCCCAGCCTCAAAGGGTGAGGACCCGTGGTTCTGCGTCCTCCCTCCCAGGCCTTGGTCTTGTTCCTCATGGCCCTTGCTCACTTTTCAAAGCCCTCTGCTGGCCTTCTTACCACCCATGCCACCTTCCCTCGCCCCCGGGCTCCACTCGCACTTTGGTGGGCAGGACTGTGGAGGCGTGCAGGAGAGAACACCCCGCATCCTCACAGCTCCCTTCCACACGCCACCGGGAAGGCCGGCCTCCATGAGCCCGGGCCTCTGTCACTCATTCGCTCACATGGGAGGCACTGACTCCTCACCTGGTGTCACTTATCCTGTTGGGGGTTCTAATGAATTAGCACAGGGGCCATTCTTCACTTCCTGACAAGGGGTCATATCTCCAGGAAGGAAGCCCAGGGGAAGGAAATAAACAAACTACTTTTGGCACAAGAATTTGAATCTCGACATCAGAGTGGCCTCTGTCATCTGTTCCAACCCCCTCTTCCCACTGAGGGAAGGTGACTAGTCCAAGGTCACACCAAGCATTCATGACAAAGCTGAGTCATCCACTCCCAGGGAGCTAGGTGGTCTCCGGGTGACCTCTCCCAGACGGGTCTCGGCTCCCTAGAGCACTGCAGAAAGCCCTTATGCCGGCAGTGGTCACTTGAATGGTGCCATGCCAAGCTCTAGAGCCCTCTCTCCACCTCCATTCTAGGGACCACTAGCAAGCAGGGGCACTGCCAGCCAGAAGCACCATGACGGGGCCCTGGACATGGCCAAGGGTCTAAGTTACACTTGCCGTGTTCCAAGACCACTGCTCCCTTTGAGATAGAGCCTGGAAGGGACAGGGGAGGAAGGGGGAGAGAGGAGAAGCTCATATGCCTCCAGGAGGTAAGGAATCAGCCAACTCTGGTTTCCAAACTTGGGTCTGCTGATCTCCTAGACCTCTGGCTATTGACTCCCTCACACAGTAGCCCCATCTAGGCCTTCGGGTTTCTATGTGGGGTCTAGAAGGGAAGATCCGATGGGTTCAGAGGGGCAGTATGTCCTTGTTCCCAGGGTCAAGGTCAGTCCACCAGATAGAAATTTCTTCTTCTGCATGAGTGAGTGAGAAGGCTCACTCTGGCTTCCCCTCGTCTTTGCCTTTTCCTGACCCTCTTAGTAGCCCGAAGACGGGTTATAGCACAGGCTTAGCTCGGCCCCTACCATCATCCCAGTGGGCCCAAGTGGTGGCCATCTCTTCCTTGTTCCCTCTAGAAGACCATTTTGTGGTGGCTCTGTATGACTACATGGCAGTAAATGACCGTGACCTGCAGATGCTGAAAGGGGAGAAGCTGCAGATCCTCAAAGAGTAAGTTCCAGAATGCCACCTCATGGTCAGGTTCTCTGTGGCTCCATGTCACAGCGGGCAGGACACCCACCCATCCGTGCAGCTACCTCCCTCCACCCCACCGTGCTCTCTCTGACTGCCTCTGCAATATTTGCTCCATTGCCCAGACCCAAGCTGGGTTTCCCAGCATCTTCTGTATTGACCCAATCATCTTCCTTCCACCTGCCTTTCCAAAGCCTTCCCCACCCAAAGTGGCAAGGTGGTTTCTTACGCTGCTGTTAAAATCCTGCTCTTCTGTTTGACTTTGGGTGGTGGGCACACAGTGCAACATCCAGATCTCATATCACAGGAATGTGTAATTGAAACCTGTGTGATCTTATGAACCAATGTCACCCCAATACATTTAATTTTAAAAATCCTACTCTTCCTTCAAAGCCCACCAATAATGTCACCTCCTCCATGCAGCCCTCCTGACACCCATGCTGCTTGCTGGCCACTCCATCACAGCTTTGTGCTGGAGTTAGTTGTGTCCATATTTGTCTCCCTTGACAGATGAGATCTTGATGGGATTCAACTTATAAAATGCACTGAAGTTTATTTCCACTGTTCCTTCTCAGAAACTCCTCCAGAGTCTGCTCTCAAAGACCTGGATTGTCCTGTAGAGTCCTGAGGGCCCGCTTTGTTCTTGAAATTCTACAATGACCTTGAACTAAAAGCATGAAAATCCTGACCTTTTGACCATCCATGGACTTCCCCATTTCTCCTTTCCTTAGTAGCCCTTCTGTTTTGGCTTTCCTGTCCAGTCCTGATTTGCTCACTACATTCTAAAGGTGTCCATTAATCAAGAGGAAGGCTACTTACTCACTATTGGCCAGGGGCCCCAGTGGGTTGGTCAGGCTGTCTGGACAAAGCATCCCCTGGGGGCTGTGCCATTCCTTTCTCCCCTGGACTGGGAGCGCCAGTGAGTTAGAAATAGCCCTGATAGCCCTCGTGTCACTGAGTGACTTGCTTTAGCTTTCATCTGCCGCGCAGCCTGCCTCTGCGAACCCTCTGCCTGGCAGAGGTGAGACCGCGGCATGCAGGGCTGTGAGCTGCCCCAGAGAGAGGCCGTCTGAGCCAGCACCTCACTTTCGTTTCTCCCTTCTGCCCTTCTTAGATCTGGAGACTGGTGGTTGGCCAAGTCTCTCATCACGGGAAGAGAAGGCTACGTGCCCAGCAACTTTGTGGCCCGAGTAGAGACCCTGGAAATAGAAAAGTAGGTGACAGAGGGAAGGGCTGTCAAAGCAGAGGCATGCTTGCTGCTTCTGCTCTGTGGGCTGCCATGCAGGGTGGCCAGACAGTGGCCAAAGATGTGAACCCAGCATGGAGGGGGCAGGAAAGGGGCAGGGAGCTGGAGCTCCTGGGGAAGGCTTGTCTGCTGTCCTGGACAACATTGCAATTGCTGTGTGATACAAGGGAGTCGCTCCTCTGTGAGCACCCCGCTCTTCCCATCTGCCAAATGGGAACCATTTCTTGCCTGGCTTCCCTGGACAGAAACGTCCCCGATGTCCCATGGCCACATAAGCTAACAAAGAGGCACTGTGATCAGCTCTGACTCCTCCAGTGCTCCCAGTGGGCAGGACTCAGGGGCTTGGGCATGGGGGGTGGGACTCCCAGGATGGTGGCCTCATTCAGAACTGGCTTATAGAGGAGCAGCCTTCTCATAACCCACTTCCAAACAGCACCAGGAAGGTCTGCTGCCGGTCTCAGCCACCAATTCACTCACACACAAGGCATTGAGCAGACAGACTCTGGAGCCCAGCTCTGTCTGAGCCTGGAGAAGCTGCAAAATGAGTGAGATGTGGCTCCTCCCTGAAGGAACTCGGAGTCTGTCAAACTCAGGAGCAAAGTACAGGAACTGGGTTTGTGGCCTCAGCCGGTGTCCCTCATGTAGTGATGGTAGTAGCCCTTGGTCCTTGTTCAGTACTCTGGCACTGTGTCCTTCCCTGGAACAGCAAACAGGACCAAGGGACACTTCCACACTGACCAGTCCAGGCTCAGGGGCACATGGTGAGAATGGAGCTCTGAGAATCTCCTTCAGAATCCTGACCCCAAGGAGGGCGTGCTCTGAGAGTAGGTGGTTGGGTGCCTTTTCCCACAGTGAAATTAACAAAGGCACCCAAATAATGTTTCTGTTTCATTTCGAGAAAACAGTAAGTCCAGAAAGGGGAAGAAAAGGGAGCACAGGCACTGAGAGGCATTTCATGGATCAAAGGTTAACTCGGTTCAAGGTTAACTTGGGGCAGGAACACGTATTATATTTCTTGGGGGCAGAGGGACAGCTTAGGAGGGAGGTTTGGATGAGAATATTCCGATGAGCATGGCCACTCTCTGAGGCTTGCCTGCCTTTGTGCTTCTCCAGGTGGTTCTTTAGATCAATCAGCCGGAAAGATGCTGAGAGGAAGCTTCTGGCTCCAATCAATAATGTGGGCTCCTTTCTTATTAGAGAGAGTGAGACCAGCAAAGGTATGTGTGGGTGGCCGCCAGTGCAGTGGGAGGGGAATGCCAGCACCTATGTTGTAGAATATTTTTTTTAATTTTTATTTTAAAGATTTTATTTATTTATTTTTTGAGAGAGGGGAAGGGAGGGAGAAAGACAGGGAGAGAAACATCAATGTGTGGTTGCCTCTCATGGCCCCCACACTGGGGACCTGGCCCACAACCCAGGCATGTGCCCCAACTGGGAATAGAACCAGCGACCCTTTGGTTTGCAGACCGGCACTCAATCCACTGAACCACACCAGCTGGGGCTGTAGAATATTTTAAATAAACGCATACAGAAACAGAGAGAGTAGTATAATGGAACCCCTTGTACCCAAGACCCAGCTTCAACAATGTTCGACTCAGCCCATCTCGTTTCATGTATATCCCCACCTACACTTATTATTTTGAAGCAAATCCCAAATATCATGTCATTTCACCCTGGAAATGATGTTTTTATCATTGCCTATGGCTAAGGTGTCCTCTGGAGGGAAAGGAACTCCCAACCTCAACGTGGAGGAGGAAGGGGTTCTCTAAGGGTGGGGTCCATCCTCCTGTCCTTGCCCACCATGGGAAGCGAGGCCAAGATGGGCCCTGGCCAGAGGGAGCTGGGGCTGCGGGGCGGCCAGGCACCATCACCCCCGACACCTACCCCCGACACACGTCTACACACATGCTCCTCAGAACTCCAAAGCAAGACCCTCTGTCTGCATCTGGAGGCCACATCTGGTGGCTGCAAGATGGGGGGGGGGAACCCAGGAGCAGGGGGAATGCGTTCCAGCCCCTGTGGCCTCCAGGCTGTCTCTCAGATTCTCAAACCTCACTGTGTTGACACCCATGTGAGGGCCCCCCAGTTTCCCAGTCCAAAAGCAGGTGGTCTCTCTCATGCTAAGAAATCTCAGTCCCTGGGTCCCCAGAGACTGTGCGTGCCCAGCACAGTCAGGAGGCAGGGCAGGGGGTCCAGATTTTGTGAACCTGAAGCTGATAGGACTTGGAGGTCCCCTTTGAGAAAAATACCAAAATGTAAAGAAAGATATAGAGACAGGCCCTTGGATGAGCCTGGGCAAGTGAGGGGCTCTAGATTATGAGCTCGGGCAGAGGCTCTGCTGGAAGGGAGCGGGCCTCCTTGGCTGACCACTGAGGAAATGAGGAGAAAAACCCTTTTCCTCACTCCAGTGGTGTGAGGACGAATGAACTCACCAGAGCCACTCTTCAGGTCCTTAAATACTGGGGCAAAGTTGCACCGACCTGGTGGGAGGTAGGGGTGACCGTTTGCGGCATGCGGCTGGGGCCGGGGTGGCAGGCATGGTGTGGGCTGTGGCCCTGGCATGGTGCCCAGATGAGGTGCATGGAGTCTCGGCATCCTTTTTTAAGTAGGTGATGAGAAAGGACGTTAAGGGAGTTGGGAGGGGAGAAGGGGTTTGAGATAGAGTGGTGGTCTGAGCAGAAAGGACAGATGTCTATATAGACAAACAGCACATCCGAAAATCAAGTGTCCACACCCAGAAAACAAAGTGTCTTAACCTGACACCTGGTGGGGGAGGGTGGTACTGCTCTCTGTAGGCGTACCCTCTGGCAGGACGCTGGGGTCCCCAAGCCTGCCAATTAACAAGCAGAGGGGTGACCTGGGGCAAATGATATCTGCTTTTTGGGCTTCAGCTATCTGGTCTCCCAAGTAAGAGTGGGGGCGTGGAACCCAGAGAGCTGGACAGAGGCGTTTTATGAAAACATGGAGTTTATGGGCAGATGTTTCTCCACTGGGAACTCACGCCTCCTTAAATTGTGCTAAAGTCCCGGAGTCTGCTAGCCCTTGTCTTCCGGGAAACACCAACAGAGACGGCAAAGCACACAGATGTGCAAATGAACGGGAACAGAGCTCCCGGGGAACAGCTAGCTCGCTCTCCTCCCTGGACAGTGGTGCTTGCGGTTGGGCTTTGGTGTTGCATGTGGTAGTAGACAGCGTTTTTAAGCCAGAATGAGTGAATGAATCAATCACTCAACCTTTTAGTCCCTCCAACAGCTCTACATTTCTCAATATTCCATGGCAAAAGGTCCCTGGTGACCAGGTGCCCAGGGGAGGGACGTCAAGATTCCTAAGACTGTCCTGCCTGTTCCAGAGGCCCGAGGTTCCCTGGCGGAGTTTTGGGAGACTCTGGGAGGAACATCAAGAACAGGGTCAGATGGAGTGGACAGGGAACCTTCCAGGGGGCTTGGGGTTGAGATGAAGGAAAAGACAGCTCATGGCTATGGTCAAAATGGGGAGCAGCATCCAGGGAGCTTTTCCCACGGCATTGGAATGAAGCCCCAGCCCCAGCCTGCTTTTCCCTCTGTGTGCCTTACCTCTCATGCAGGCGTCTTTATTAACCCTCCAGGTGCCTTCTCCCTGTCTGTGAAGGACTCGACCACCCAGGGAGAGGTGATCAAACACTATAAGATCCGTTCCCTGGATGAAGGAGGCTATTACATCTCTCCCCGAATCACCTTCCCCACGCTCCAGGCCCTGGTGCAGCACTACTCCAGTAAGAGGGGCCTCTGATGGGGTGGGGGCTTGTGCCGGAGCAGCCCTTGTATCTCTCTATCGCTAAGATTTCAAGATTGAGAATCATGGGTGCTACCTTGGAGTTGACAACTGTCACCATAGTGATTCAGTCTGTGTACCTAATCTCTTCTACTGGATCAGCATTCAAGCACCTGGAGAGTAACAAGTACTTTCAGGCATAGAGAGAGCAGGTTAATGCTTTATGCTATGCTTTATGCGAAGCAAGTGAAAAGAGCTGAGTGTGTGTGTGTGCCCATGTACATACATGCACTTGGGGGTCGGGGGCTAGCAAGAAGGCGGGGGTACAGCTGGGAAAGGGGCCAGTCTGGCTGCTCTGGTAACCTCCAGCCCCATCTCCTCTTTCCTAATGCAGAGAAAGGGGATGGTTTGTGCCAAAAGCTAACCCAACCCTGTGTGAGCCTGGCTCCTCAGAACCCCTGGGCCCAGGATGAATGGGAAATCCCCCGCCAGTCTCTCAAGCTGGTCAGGAGACTCGGGTCTGGGCAGTTTGGCGAAGTCTGGATGGGTGAGTATGTGCTGTGCCAGGAGCCTCTCTCTCCCATCCCTGCACCCTGAAACACAGGAGGCTCAGGATTTGCACAACGCATCCTGCTTCCCCCAGAAAGGCTTGTGAGGGAGAAGGGACAGAGGCTATGATACTCATTTCACAGAGGAGGTGATGGAGGCATAGAACACTGTTTCTCAACTTCCTGAGGGAGGCTGAGACAGGCTGGCAACTGGCAAGATAAGCTGGCACATCCATCACCAGCAGGAGCTGTACATTCCAGGCCTGGGCCTCTTCCTGGGCGGGTAGCTCCAGCTGCAGTCCCCCACCCCCAGCATAGGGATGGCTCCTGGAAGCTTATGTAGATAATGGTTAAGAGATCAGCTCCTGCAGCCTCTGCTGAATGGCTTCTTTGTTCTCTCCCCCACTCCATCCCCTGTCCTGCCTCAGGTTATTACAAAAACAACATGAAGGTGGCCATCAAGACCTTGAAGGAGGGGACCATGTCTCCGGAGGCCTTCCTGGGCGAGGCCAACCTGATGAAAACTCTCCAGCATGAAAGGCTGGTTCGTCTCTATGCCGTAGTCACCAAGGAGCCCATCTACATCGTGACCGAGTACATGGCCAGAGGTGGTGCCCCGTGGGGGCTTGTGTCCCTCAGACAGAGGCGGGGAGGGGCAGGGGAAAAGGGACAGGCTTAGGGGCCGAGAAGGCAGAGGCCCATCTGCTGCCATGAGTTTGCCTGGCCAGGAGACCTGTGCAGGGGATCGCTGGTCCATGGGCTGGATGGAGTAGCCAACGTCCTGTGTGTCTAGGGTGTCCCACACGCATGGGGTGGGAGGGGAGGAAGGTGAGAAGCAAGACAGGTCAGTGGTTCTGTAGAGCTGTGTCCTCAGTTCGGGAACACTTGGAGTGTGTCGTCTATGCCCGGCACTGTTTGACGCCTGCTGGGGAGTCAGGTGTCAAACAGTGCCAGGAGCATGACAAATTGAAGGGGAATAGGATGGGCTTCCAGAGATGGTTCAAGTCCCAGCTCTACTGCTTACCAGCCATGGGACCTTTTACAACCCTATGAACATTTTAGCACACCATGAAAAGAGAGGTTAGGTGAGCTGGCCTCTGAGGTCCACAGTATAGCCAAGCCCTCATGGGACAGTGGATCTGGGGTCCAGCCTCGGCCTTTGACCTCCTTCTCCCTGCTCCCGTGATGCTGAGCACACGCTACTTCCTGCAGGACTCTAAGGTTCCCTTAGAAGCTGTGCTATAAGCCATGCTAATACAGTGCCTTAAATGTCACCATGAAGGGGGCTCCACACTGGGCCTGGGGACCCAATGGATTCCCTGCTCAGCTCTTAGCCACACCTCAAGTGTGTGTCCCTCCCAGCTTTTAGATGCCACAGAGGACCCTCATTTGTCCCCTGCACCAAATCCAGGGGATGGGTCTCTCCATTCTGGTGCTCAGAGGCACAGTCTCTACCAACAACGGGTGAAGAAGGCAAGAATGCTATGCCAGGAATGAGCACTAAACTTAGAGTCAGAGAGCAGATTCTGCTCCGGGCACCCTGGCTTGTGACCCTGAACCTGGCTGAAACCTAACTTCTCGTGAGGGGCTGGGAGCATATCAGCTGCCTCCTGGGGTGCTGTGGGGATCAAGGCCGGAATTTTGTAAAGCAGAAGGCACCCTGCCTCTGTGGGTGGACTTCTTCTCTGTGGACAAGGGATGGAGCAGAGCACCACCTACTTCTGGCCCCAGGTGGGGAGCAGCCCACAGCAGGAGGCTGGCATCGCCAGGGAGGGGGCGAGGCTACGGCGGGGGCATTTGAAGGAGTGCAGCTGCAACATTTCCTTCCTTAGGATGCTTGCTGGATTTCTTGAAGACGGATGAAGGTAGCCGATTGTCCCTTTCAAGACTGATCGACATGTCGGCCCAGGTTTGTGAGCTACCAAGCACAGTGGGGCCTGAGTACCAATGGCCAAGGCCCCTAGGTTTCTGCTCCCGGCCCTGTGGCTTAACAGAATCAACTATCCAGAGGTTGTATCTATCTGATTTAGGCTGTGCTGTGAAAGACAGGACACCCAAGGTAATAACGGCTTAATGTGTAAACATCCAAAGGTGGAGAGTCTGGATTGGTAGATAGGTCTGCCCCTCAAAGTCACAGGGCCCCAGGTTTTTTTCACCTGTTGGGTGTCTTAGCACATCATGTGAGTGTCCAGGGGGCTGTTCACACTACACCATCTTGTCCTCTTCTCGGCCAGCAGGAAGAAGTAAAAAGGGTTGAAAGCCTACCCTCCTCCCTAGAGACATGTCCTTGAGGCCACCCACTGCACTTGCTCTTACATCTTCCTAACCACAGAGTCACCAGGCCAACACCTAGCTGCAAGGGAGCTTGGGAAATGTAGTCCTTATTTAGGTAGCCATGATGAGATGAGGTGGGTTCTATCATAAGGAAGAGAGGAGGAACGGATGGTGGGTTGGAAAACCCAGAGAGTTTGCATGAATTCCATTTAACGTGGTCAGCAAGGGTTTTGTGGTGACCTCATTTCTTCCTCAGATGGTGCTCACAAATGCCTTCTGTAAGAGGTGGGAAAATGGAGAGGGGGGTCTGTCCTCCCCAGAGATTTTAGCTGAGGGCTCTAGCTGTCAGGAAACCCATCTGGTGGCCTCGAGTGTGTGTCTGTTAAAACTGGAACTCTCAGCAGAAAATTTGTGGTCAACCTGTGAGACGTAAACCCACGCACTCATACGGCTTCGGAAAGGAAACCTCCCCTCACCCCACAGCGCCCCTCCCCACCTCACTGGCCTTATCTGCTATTAGCATCAGTGCAGGAACTGAGGTCGCCACACCCCTTTTCCACAGACAGCTTTGAGGAGGCTGGTGGGGTGGTCTCGGAAAGTTAGCACTGGTAACTGGTTTCAAACCACGTAAGAGTGATAAACCTGTCAACTCCGTTCTTTCTTTTCCTCCTTTCACTCTCCCTGTCTTGCATTCAATCCGAGGGTAAATCTTGGGTCACCCAGGGGTAAAGGATGTGGAAAGCCACCTCAATTTATACGTAGGTCTGGTCAAGATGCTGAGGGTTAAGAAACCAAAAATCAGAACCTCCTAGGGGGTCAGTTTCTAAACCATGTTCTGGCCATGTTAGCACCTCACCACATGTGCACATATGCACTCACACACACACACACACACACACTCACACTAAACGTCCTTCTGGGTGCTCTTTTTCCTGCTCAACAGGATAAAATGCAAAGCTCCCCTCCAACCACAACCTGGGGTGCCCTACTTTGCAGGCATGAGGCAGCTTCCTAGTGTCCTGTGAGCTGTTGCCTCTCTTCCCAGGATGCCGTTGACTCTCTTCCACCTGGAAGAATCCTAATCGATGTTCATGACCCAAGTCAAGTTCTCCTGGACAGAAAGGTGCTAGAGAGCACTCGGCTCACGTGTTCTCGTTAGCATCACGCGAGGCAGATTTTTCTCCTTGAAAGTAGATCTGGGTTCTACTCAACCTTTTTTTTTTATTTCTAGTAGTGCTCAATGCATATTTTCAAATGGCATTAGTACTGCTAAATGCTGTCCAGAATAAAATATTTGGTACTTAGCTTTGTAGTCCCCACAGTACCATACCAGTAAATGTGTGTTGATGGAATGATTTAGCAAAAGAATTAATGAATGGATGAATGAATGAATGAATCCATGAATAAGCCAATACAAATGGAAACAGACGAGAGGTAGGATCAATCCCAGTGCCAGCTTCTTGCCGCCACAGGTCTGAGTCGACAAACTGGCTTTCTAGTCTGTGCCTCAGGTTCTTGTCTGTCAATGGGAGCACAGAGAACAGAGCCTGAGTGAGCTTCCTTGGCGAAAGGGCACACAAGCAGGACAAACACTATTCCGGGCCCAGTGCTGGTGACAAGAAACAGACACAGAGTCTCCTCTACTTTTCCTGCCTCCGTTTCATCGGGATCTGCCCCTGCCCCCTGAGGGCCCACCACGGAGCAGTGCAGGATTATGTCCGTCCGCCACCATGTGCCTCATTTAACACTCCCCTCAACTCCATGCCCTGGAGACCCCTTTCCTCATGCTCCAACCAGTCCAGTGACATTCCAGGGAGCTTAAACAACATGGCAGGGGCCAATGATTCCAAACCCGCACCCCGCTCCAAAACAGTGCTTCCAACTGGCCAAGGAGGTGAAGCCTTTTCCTTCCCCTCACCTTCCTGTCTCCTGCCCCTTCCTTTTCTTCTCCACCCCTGTCAAGAGATCTCCCCTTTCTCCTGCCTTCCTTCTGTTGTCATTCTCCTCTGCAGACACTTGGTAGGAGAGGAGAGATGGGTGAGGGGTACAGGTAGCCCCTAGTTCTGATGTCCCTGCCTTTCCGGGCTTTGAGGGACAGGGGTGTATAGCTTATTGAGCTGGGGAGTAGTTGAAGCTATCTTTCTGCTCCATTCAAGAATACGCTCCTTCTGTAGTAGCAAACCTCCCCTGCCATGTACCTACCCCCCCCCACACACACACACACAAGCATTCCTTCTCCTCCCAGACTGTGAGGGGATGAAGGCTGTAGCCAGGGTGGTGGTGAGGGTGGGCTGGGTCCTTCCTCTCCCCCGTAGGGCTATGTAGGGAGATGCTGGATGAGCTTAGTCCTTGCATGGAGGTCCCCACACTGCCCTTCCCTGTGTGACATGTTCCCTCAGATTGCTGAAGGCATGGCATATATCGAGAAAATGAATTCAATCCACCGAGACCTCAGGGCGGCCAACATCCTGGTATCTGAGACCTTGGGCTGCAAAATTGGTGACTTTGGCTTGGCCCGGATCATCGACAACGAATACACTGCCCAAGAGGGTGAGCAGACTCCCAACCCAGGGAGACCTTGTGCCCTACCTTCCCCAACCTCCAAACCCCTTGCCCTTGTCCTTGTCACCACACGGCAGAGCCCTGTGCGAAGAGGTCAGAGAGCTGCGGTGTTTCCACAATTCTAGCCTTCCCCCAGGCAGACTGGCATTTCCCTAACTGAGATCCGCAGGGCGCTAGTGCCCCTGAGGGATGCTGGTGAGGAAGTGGGTGTGGAGGTACTGCAGACTCCACCCACGCCCCCTGCGTGATTTCCCACACACTCCAGCGTGTCGAAGGGCCTGAGAAGTCCTGCAGCGCAGAAACTGTGCATCTGCTTCACCTGGGGTCCCCCACACTGCTTCGAGCCCCACATACTTTTCCAGTGGCCTATGAACTTCCCAGGAACTAGGGTTTCGAAGGACACACTTTAGGAAACACGGCTCTGAAGCGTGAGCAGCAGAATTTGGACCTGAATTAGGTTTCCACAGAGCCCTCGGGCTTACTCTGTCGGTGTAACTGAAGTAAAGATCCTCTTTGAGAGAGGAATTGAAGCAGTCACATACATTTATCAAGCAAACTAGTGAACCATCTCAGCTGAGCGTATTAATCAGTGGACGCATAGAGGGATCGATATGGCTAGTTCCCTGGGGGAACCGCAGACCGGCTTGGAGGCCGGGACAGCTGGGCGAGGAGGGAGAGAATCAGGTGCGAGTGGCGCCGTTGGCTCTGAGTGCTGACTGGACCGCAGCCACCTGCAGGGCCTCCCGGGGCAGCGGGATTTGAATCCCCTCCTCGCTGTGACCCTCAGAAGCACCCAAGCCGTGTGTCATCATTTCCGTTTGGCAGGAAAGGATTAACTGAGGCAGGCACACGTTCGAGTGACTTGCCCACGCCATGAGTTCCTGTTCTGAACAAGGCCAGGTCCCGTGCAAAGGGCCGCCTCTGTCCGAATGGATGGAAGCACATGATGGTTTCCCAGTGACGCCCACACACAGGCTGACAGGGGTGACACTTGTGTCCATGTCATTCTCTCATGATGTGGCCCCCAGTGTCTGCACACGCCGGGCCATGTGTCCTAGTGGCTGTCAGTGACTTCCTGGATGAGTCTGTCACACAGGGCAGGCCAAGCCCTGAAAAGGGTGTGGGGTGAGGGGAACAGGAAGAGGGGGCTGGGGTGGGCATGGGGGACAGTCCGTCATGGCCTCATGAAGCCGACCATGGCTTTTCCCGCAGGGGCCAAGTTCCCCATCAAGTGGACTGCCCCAGAGGCCATCCATTTTGGGGTGTTCACCATCAAAGCGGACGTGTGGTCATTTGGCATCCTCCTGATGGAAATCGTCACTTACGGGCGGGTACCCTACCCAGGTAGGCAGTTTCACCGGCAGCAGCTCGCGGGTATCCTGCTGTCCTGGGATGGCCGTGATGGCCGACATCCCACCTCGGTTCCCCTGGGGCTGCCCGGATGTGTGTCCCAGTGCAGTCTCGACGGTGGGGACGGAAACCCCGGCACACCAGCCTAAGGGCAGGGCTCTGCCCCTTCCTCCACATGGCTCTGGTCAACAGGGCTGCACCCCCTTCCTCCAGTGGGGGTCAGTCAGCCCCCAGACCTGGAATGAAGTGAAGAGTCTGAATTCGTTTACTCCCCATTGGTTTGTCCTCAGTTCAGACCAGGTTGTCCCTCCCTCTGCCTTACACCTTGGGTGTACTCCCCAAAGCGCCCCCCCTACTGTAACCCCCCAGCCCCCGGCCCCACTCAGAAGGTCAGCCAGTGGTGCGTTTTCCTGGAGCACCTGCCCAGTGAGGGATGGGCTCTTGCTGTGTGCCAGGCGCTCCCAGGTAAGGCAGGTGGGTCTCATCGTGAGGGAGCTGCTGGCACCAAGGAGGAAATCTACAGCCTCGCGTCCAGAGGTTCTCCGGGCAGTGAAAAGTAATTCAAGGGATGTGTAAAGGTGGCACCAGGCAGGCAGCCAGGCCACCTGTGAGGAAGGAGACGGTGGACTGTGCCTCGCCCGCCCCCTGCAGCCCTTCAGCGGTGCTCTGCGTTCCCTCTGCCTTCAGGAATGAGCAACCCCGAGGTCATCCGCAACCTGGAGCGGGGCTACCGCATGCCGCGCCCGGACTCCTGCCCCCCGGAGCTGTACCACGGCGTCATCGCCGAGTGCTGGCGGAGCCGGCCCGAAGAGCGGCCCACCTTCGAGTTCCTGCAGTCGGTGCTCGAGGACTTCAACACGGCCACCGAGCAGCAGTACGAGCTGCAGCCCTAGCCGGGCTCTCCGGGACGCGTCAGCACTGCGGGGCTCGGGGGCCCAGCGTCGCAGCTCCGGGATGGCGTGCGCCTGGGGCCCGACCCGCAGAACTGACACCTCGCGGCTCTAACTCCAGCCCTGCACAGGCTGGAGAGGCTAGGAGGGACTGGTACACCCTTTATTTAGAAGAGGAAACTGGAGGCAGCCTGGAGGGTGGTCGAGAGCGCGGCCTCCGGGCGGGATCCAATCGCAGTCCCACCCTTCTCTGGCTGTGTGTCCTTGGGCAAGTTACTTGGCCTCTCGGGCCCTCCGCTTCCTCCTTTGTACAACGGGAAGAAGAGTGATAGTACCTACCTCGTATTCTCCTCGTGAGGATTACATTAGGTAACCCAGGTAAGGCGTTCAGAGCCGTGTCTGGCACACGCCTGGCACACAAGCTCTTAAGTGTTTGTCATGTAAGGCTCCCCTGTGCTGGCACAGGTGACCGGGAGTGACCTGCTCCCACCTGCACGCACCACCTCCCACCTGAGGCTCCCTTTCACCCTCCCCAGAAGCAGAACTGGGTCCTCCCAGAAGTCGGCTCCGAAAACTGTCCACCCACTTCGGCTCTGGGAGGGGATCCCTGACGTAGACTGAGCTCCAGGACCTTGGGACTTTTCTGTAATAAAGTCACGAGCTCTGACCTTTTCCGTGTCATTACTGGTGACAAGCCTGATCACTGTACCCATGACGTGCATGGACGCGTGAGTGGCCCCACTAGGGACTCGAGAATGACTGTGGGTTTCCGGTGGAGACCAAGTCCCCAGACCCAGAACAGCGGCGACAGACTGTCCCTGCCTTTGATCAGGGCCGGCAGGTGGCGCTCTCACCTCAGAAATCCTTGGCCTCCGGGTCTGAGTCCCGGGGTCCTCCTTTCAGCACAGCGCCAGGACCGACGAGGGGAGCCGCGCTTGCTGGAGACGCCGCCACAGGTGCAACGAACAAGCGCCAGGGGCCCGGAGTCCCGGACACACCAGGTGCATGAGCAGATGACGATGGGGTACTAACACCAAGGAACATTCGAGGCTCTGCACTGCTCACGGAGGCTCCCCATTTGTCGTGGGGTTTTTTGTTTGTTTGTTTTGCTATACGAATAGATTTTTTTTGAGCAGTTGTAGAAGAATAAGCAGAAAATACAGAGAAACCCATTTACCCCTTGCCCCTGCCTCCCCATTACTAACATCTTGCAAAAGTATGGTACATTCGTTACAAATGATTATCCAGATCATTGTTAGCTAAATTCATAGCTTCCATGAGGACTTGCTCTGTGTGTTGTGTGTACTCTCCCGTGGGTTTGGACAAGGTGTAATGACATGTCGTCACCATCACGCCATCACACAGAATAGTCTCAGTGCCCTCCGGGTCCCTTGGCCTCAACCTATTCACCCCCTCTGAGCCTCTGGCCACCAACTTGCCATGTAGTGACTGATCCTGTGACAACCCAAGGAGGTATGTCTATTGCCATCCCACGAACAGAGAAAGAAACTGAGGCACAAAGAGCTTACCTGGTGTTCCTAAGGTCACACCACTCATTAGTAGCAGGATGGGGATGTGGGACTGTGGCAGCCAAGTAGGTGGGGGTGCTGGGCTGGGAGAACCTCACTAGAGAGGTCACCTCTGCGTGTGAACAGGGATGACTGAGCAAAGAACAACACGTGCCTGTAGGGTGCTTGCTAATTTTAGACTACTTTCCCCTAGTCACAGCCTCCCTGAGAAAGAGGGAGGGAGGGAGGGAGGGAGGGAGGGAGGGAGGCAGCAATGTTATTACGATGCCTCTACTCTTTTCCTTAAATGAGGAAACTGGGAGAGACTCCACACCCCCAGTGTTGCCCAGACGCTGTTGGCTGGCCAGTGCTGGACCATGGATTTGAACCTGTTCTTTGCACACCCCCACCCCCTGCCACCCCAGCCACTGCTGTAAGTGCTGTGTAGAGAGCGCAGCATTCTCACAGTTGGGAGGTCTGCAAAGGTGGGTGGTGAAGGCTCCCTGAGCAGTTCCCAAGTGGATCCCAAGGCAGGGGGGCGGCTGGGGGTGTGATCCCACGGGGCCTTGGACAGATCTCCCCCGGGATGTCCAGGATGCTGGAGGTGGAGCGCCCTGGAGGGCTCTGGTGAACTGCCTTGGACCTCCCCCTAGAAGTGAGGGCTTTTGGGAGAGGTGGCTGTTAAGTCTCTCAGAAGAAATAACTTCACTCAGCCTCCCCCCAACCCCCAGGGGCTTAGCACCCACATTCCATCTCCCTAGAATCTCTAGGAATTGGAGCTGCCTGGCCCAGAACCCCGGGGCCAGGGGGTGTGGCTGGTGTGAGCTAAGCTGGAATGCAGGATATCACAGAGCCAGCTGAACCTGCAGCGGGTGGGTGCACCGGACAGACACAAATCTGAGTAGGGGTGCTCATGGGTGAGAAGGGCCCCGAGAGGACCGATGGGTGCCTTCAGGGATGGGACTTGGAAAGGACGGATCTGTAGGATGTGGAATGAGTCCCTCCTCCCGGCTTCTTCGCAGCCCAGACCTCAGGCCTGAGCACCACCTCCCTGCCTCCCGCAGCCTCTCTGAAGTGGGCCCTGGCTGTCCAGGGGCTGGAAAGCCTGGGGCTGGCTTGCCACCTCTCTGGACCCCACCACCTTCCCGTGAAGGTGCAGGGAGTCACCCGGTGCTTGGCCGCCCTCACTGTTCATGAAACTCACGTCAGCTGTTTTAAAACACAGGTGACTAGACCTCTCAGTCTGGGACGCTGATCCCGCAGGTCTAAGGCAGGGTCTGGAAGCTTCATCATTGCTAAGCACCCTACGTGATTCCAGGTGAAGCACCCTTGGTTCTCAATCCCGGATGCACATACGAATCACTGTGGGGTGGAAGTGGAGGGGGGTGGGGGGGGATAGTGAGTTGGGGGGGCACATTAAAAACACCAGAACCAGGATTCCAGGTGGGGCCTGGCCGTCAGCACATTGTAAATGTCCTCAGCTGGCTCTTGTTCATCCAGGACCAGGGACCACTGGGCTAGTTGTGTGGGGTTTGGGAGCACCCTTCCCAGCGGGGCTGGCTGCAAGCAACCAGGAGCCAGTCTGACTCCTGGGGCTGCAAGACCAGCTCATGCCTGTGGCTCTTTCCACTTCTGGCGTACAAGTGACAACCTGCGGAAACTGGAAAGGGAATCTGGCATGTTCCCAATGACAAGTTGTCGGACAAGGTGGACACATCTCCTCCACCTCCAGCTCCCGGAGGTGGTTTCCCAGGGAAGGTGAGGCTGGAGCTGGGAGGGCCAGTGAGACTTTTCCCCACTAGGAGGCGCCCTTGCCTTAGCAGTGGTCAACCCAGACAGTGCCCTGGGGGTTTTTGTTAGGTGTGTCAGTGACTTTATAAAGGACAAGAAGCCTTCCAATTCCCATCCAGAGGATAAAGTGTGAGAGGGTGTGGAGAGTTAGAGAGAGACAGCAAGACAAAGAGAGACAGGGACAGAAAGACAGAGACAAAGAGATAAGGACAGAAAGAGGCAGAGAGAGAGAAAAAAAAAAACAGAAAGAAAGAGACAGAACATGAATGGGGGGGAAAAGCAGCAACATTTCCTGCTCTGACAACATGTCTGAGGAGAGGGAGGGGAGGCTAGTCTCGGCTGCGGAGGCCGTGTTCTCCCCACCGTACTCTGCCCGTGTGAGGACATCGGAAAGGGGCCCAGGCCTGCGACGTCTGGAGCGTGTGATTGCTGCCCACTCACCCAGACCTCCTCTCAGGCGTGGGCCCCAACCCTGGACTCCAGACGCCTTCTTGCCTGCAATGGAGATTGTGCTTTCTCCCCAAGCCAGCACACACAACCTTGCACTTATTGAAAAATGATTAACAGCAAGATCTTTGGAATCAGAGAGACCCGAAGCACTTTCCCAGGATCTATGACTATGGGCACTTTGCTTGACTTCTCTGGGGCTCAGTTTCTTCATCTGTAAAATGGGCATTCTAGTAATACACATATTATGGGCTAAGTTTGAGATGTAGGTGAGATAGTACATGTGAGACATTTACACAGTGCCTGTCTTGTGGGAAACACTCAGAAATGTTAGCTCTTATTGTTTTATCATAGCCCCTTAAGGAAAGGCCTGCCAAGATCTTACTCCACAACCTCCATCACCCTACCCTGGTTTCCCCTGTCCTCTGTGATTTGTTGTCTGCCACTCTGATTTTTCCTTGTTTACGTCCACACTCCTCCCACCCTCGGGGTAGAGCTGGGAAACAGGTGCTCAGGGTGCGAAGTCCAGGCCCCGGGTTTGCCCAGCACTTCTCAGCTGTGTGATCTTGGGGAAGTGACTCAAGTCCTCGGAGCCTTCGTTTTCTTGGCTGTAAACAGGGAGAACAAGGATTCCCTTGCAAGGCGTTTTAAGGATTTAAAGAAGACTTTGAAAATGGAGGGGTCTGTGAGGTTGCCGTGAAAGGTACCACAGACTGGGTGGCTTCAGTCACAGACACGGATTTCCTCACGGTTCTGGAAGCTGGAAGTTCGAGGTCGAGGTGTCAGGAGGGTCTCCTTCCAAGGCCTCCCCGTGTCCTCACCTGGCCTCCCCTGTGTGTGCCTGGGTCCTAATCTCCTCTTCTCATAAAGACACTGGTCAGAGGGGTTAGGGCCTGTCTGATGACCCCATTTAATTTAATCACCCCTAGACTGTCTCTCCAAACAGTCATGTCCTGAGGTTCTGGAAGTTTGGACCTCAGCACAGGAATTTGGGGGACACAACTCAGCCTATAACAAATGGTAATAAGTAAATGTGATCATTGTTTCTTCTTTCGTGTTTTCTATTTTTGTAACTATTTTCATATGATTTTTTAATTTGCATTTCATTTTTTCATCTCTTCCACTATGCCTTCCTAGTGTTAGGCACATAATAGGCATCAATGTATTATGATGACTGACTGGCTGCAAAAACAACAATATTGGGTGTGAATGAAAGTCCCATCTGCAAATCAGGAAGGTCTGAAGCTAAGCTGGAATACCAGGGGACCAGCGCTAAGCAAACTTACACATAAAAATCCAGATTTAATCCCTGGCTGGTGTAGCTCAGTGGACTGAGCGCAGGCTGCAAACCAAAGTGTCGCGGGTTTGATTCCCAGTCAGGGCACATGCCTGGGTTGCAGGCCACGGCCCCCAGCAACCGCACATTGATGTTTCTCTCTCTTTCTCCCTCCCTTCCCTCTCTAAAAATAAATAAATAAAATCTTTTAAAAAATCCATATTTACCTGAAAGATAAAGTAGTCCGTAATGATATTTTTTATTAAAGTTTCCACCACATATTCCTTTAGGTACTTTAACAGTAGTTCTCAAATTTCCCCAGGCTTTGCATTGTCATTTTTTAAAACTGTGGTACAATACACACTGCATAAAATGTACCATCTTAGACATTTTTGAAGTGCGTCGTCCAGTCATGTCAGGGGCAGCACACGGCCGTGCAGCTGCCGCGGTCCATCTCCAGGGCTCTCCCAAACTGAGACTTGGTCCCCATTAAGCAACCCACCCCCCTGCTCCTCCCAGTCCCTGGCAACCCCCACTCTCCTTTCTGTCTCTATGAATTCGACTCCTCTATTTGCCTGTATGAGCAGAATCACACAGGATTTGTCCTTTCGTGACCGGCGTCTTTGACTCAGCCTCACAGCTTCCATTTTTAACCCTGTTGTGGCACATGTCAGAATTTCCTTCCTGTTTAAGGCTGAGTAATATTCCAGTGAATGTATTGCATTTTGTTTCTCCTTTCATCTGTCGGGGTCACTGGGGTTGTTTCTACCTTTGGTTACTGAGAATGGTGTTGCTGTGAGCATGGGCATGCACATATCTCTTTGAGACCCACGGCTGGACCATACAGTGCTTCTATTTTTAATTTTTTGAGGGGCCTCCATGCTGTTTTCCACAGCAGCTGCACCATTTTACGTTCCCCTCAGCAGTGCCCGAGGGTGCGAATTTCTTCACACTCCCACCAGCACTTGGTGTCTTCTGTCTTTGTTTCTGCTCTATAGCAGCTGTCCTGATGAATGTGAGGGGACATCATTTCAACAGCAATAACCCATTTCTTTGGCTTTGGTCTCCACTGACTCCACCTCTTTGAAGTGTCCTAAGGTGATTCCCCTTATGTGCCCATGATGAGCCTTTTCAGGTTGATGCCTCTGAAGTTCTGCTGTTTCTCTCTGGGCACCGGGGGCAAGACTTCCTGGGCCTGCCTGAGAGGTCCCAGCTGATTGGTGGGGTGGGGGCAGGACTCTGCTATGGGGAAAGCACCTTTCAGCGCCCCTCCCCTGGGCAAGTCTGCTCCAGGATGCCTCAGGATCTCCTGGGACTTGCCCAAGGCTCTCACCAGATGTTCCCAGATGGGTCTGTGTCCTGGTGAGCATGGCTCACACCTCTGCCTCAAAATGGTCTCCAAGATTTGCTTGACACCATGGGAAAGAACTATGCTTGGTTCTGGGGACTTGGCTGCGGAGGTGACAAGGAGAGATGGGAAGGCAGTAGCTACCATGACACATGGGCAGATCGGAGGAAGCTACAGACATCCGGGCCTCTGACATAAGCTTGTCCGCTCATTCCAGGTCCAGGCTGAGCTCATCAAGTTTTCTGTACTAAAGAAAGTGCCA